ATGCCGCCGCTGCCTTCGACACGCGGATACGCAGCTCACTGTGTAGCTGCTGGTCAGTCGACATCACATTCCCAAGGTAGCAGAAGCGGGAGGTGGTTTCCAATACTTCAGCACCAATGCTGATTCACGGCAATATTGCAGATTGCACCTCCGGTAAAGGCTGAAAGAGACAGACAGTTTTGCTTGTGTTGATGGTGAGCCCGAATTTGACCGCTGTCGAAGCCAGAGCACTAGTCATGTGCTGCAGCTCATCCGCGCTGTGTGAAAACAACGCACAATCGTCAGCAAACAGCAACAAACGGATATTTGTCTCACAGACTAGAGTTCTCGCACCGAAACGATGGATGTTCAGCAACCCACCATCAATACGGTGCTCCACACGAACACCGTAATCACAAGCGGCATCAAAAGCACAAGAAAACATTGCATGAGGATATATATTAAACAGGGCAGGAGCTAAGACACAGCCTTGCCTTACACCAGAGACAACTGCAAAGTCATCAGAGGTCTCTCCACTCAGCTGCACCCTCTCTCGCATACCACTGTGCAGACATTCAATTAAACTTACAAACTTTCGCGGGCAACCAAACTTACCCAACACCAGCCACAATGCCTCGCGGTTCACCGTATCAAATGCCTTGGTGAAATCAACAAAAAGCGAGTGCAATGGCTGGTGTCGTTCTCTGCATTTCTCCTGCATCTGACGAGCCGCAAACACCATATCTATAGTGCTGCGACCCGAGCGGAATGCACACTGTTCTTCCGCCACGTTAGGTTCCACAACCTGACTGATGAGGCAGTTGAGCAGGATTCGGGCAATCACCTTGCCCACACAACTCAGCAAGTTGATGCCACGATAATTCGTGCAACATTGCTTGCTGCTTTTGCCCTTGTACAGTGGTAGCACAAGGGCATCCTTCAGCTCAGGAGGCACCTCCTCCTCAATCCATACGCGTTGCACCAAGTGGTGCAGCGCAGTCAACAACGCGGGTCCGCCGTGTTTCAATACTTCACGCGGGATCCCCTCGGCCCCGGCACACTTGCCGTTTCGCAGCTGAGCAATTGCTCTCTGCGTCTCATCTAGTGTCGGCGTGTCCGCCAGACTCGCCTTCACATCGTGCTGCTTCAGGCCGTTCAATGTAGGCCAGTCGATCTTTGAACGGTTGTTCAAGAGACAGTCAAAGTGTTTTCGCCAGATCTGCATTATGTCTGCAGTCTGTGTGCAAGTAGCGCCTGAACTACCATCGATCAGCGTCCTCAACGGCTCCAATCTCAGTCCATACACCGCCTTCAAGGAATCAAAGAATTCCTTGTGTTGGCGGCGTTCGGCGTACCTTTTCATTTGCTTCGCCTTCTCCATCCACCATGCATTTTTACTGCGACGGAGCTCTCGGGTCAGTCGCCGTCGAATTTTGCGAAACTGACTCTTCTTCCCCAAGTCACTCGGGTCTGCCACATGTGCAGCAAATGATGCATTCTTCCCCGACACCAATGCACCAATCGTCGCATTGTTCTCATCAAACCAATCAGGCCGCTTACAGTTTGAGCGCCCGATGGTCTCCTCGGCATCAGCTGTCACCTGGTCGCGAATGTGGTGCCACAGGTCGCCCACTGTGGCTATGCAGTCCACGTAAGACAGGCGTGTAGCCATAGCCTTCTCCAGCTCAGTACATTTCGCCACAGTACCGAGTGAGCGAATGTTAACTTTACGCCGATTCACGGCGGGTGTGCAATACATAGATTTGCGAAAATATATGTACAGTTTGGTGCGCACCAATTTGTGATCAGTGCCGCACTCAGCTCCACTCAGTACACGTGTCATGCGCACTTCACGCATATGACGCTGACGTACGATGACATAGTCGAACAGGTAAGCGTGACCACTCCGTGGGTGCGTCCAAGTGGCTATATCAGTCGCACTCAGTGCAAACCGAGTGTTCGTGATCGTCAGGCCGTGAGTAGCACACAGTGAGAGCAGCCTGTCACCGTTCGCATTTGCTGAACCAATGCCCTGCGGATTGATAACATCTGTCCACACCGATGCATCACGCGCAACGCGCGCGTTGAAATCACCCAGCAGAAATAGTCGGTCGCTCCTCGGCACAGACCGTATCACGGAGGATAGCTGAGTGTAGAATTGATCACACGTGTCATCAGGATAACACAACTGGCAAACTTACCTCTTCCGAGTCGTAGGCATACAGTCATCAGTCGCGGCTTATGCCTGTTGGTTCATCCACGGGCTGCTCATGGAGGCGATTAGATATTGCAAATCCGATCCCATAACCACGTGGTGCTGAGGCGGCGTTGCCCACCCAGTAGAATGTATAGTCATCACCTGCTGCATGCAACTTACCTTGTTCAGCTAGCCGGATTTCACTGAGCGCCGCAATATCGATGTGGTAGCGCGCCAGTTCCATCGCGACGAGTGCATTGCGTCGCTCGGGGCGCTCACTGGAGTTCCGGTCCAGTAGTGTGCGCATGTTCCAGCACCCGATGCTGAGTGCTTTGCGCGCAGGCATCCGATTGCATTGGTGGGCAATCGCACGCGAGGTGGTCGTTGTGTTTCGGAGGTTTGTTTGAGGAACTCCACCCGGAGCCTTCGGCTCAATAGCCTGATCCACAAGGTAGTGGGTGTTTTGGAGGTTTGCTTGGGGGACTCCGCCCGGAGCCTTTGCCTCAATAACCTGACCCACAAGGCAGTGGGGAGCAGATCCAGCTAGGGAATGTGGTTGCAGCGACTGACTGGGATCTGCTTGACGGCCGTCACACGCAGCCTTTGAGGTTCTGGAACGTTTTATATATGTTTTGCGACCGTAGTAGGATACGCGCCTGCGACCACGGCCAGACGCAGGTGGGTTTTGGCGGGTTTGCACCAATTTGACCAAGGGCTGCCTGGCTTGAGGCGGGCAGTAGCAATCCATTGAACTCCCGGAAGTGTCCTCCCACCTTCAGGGACAATGCGTGGCGCTCGTGCTCTACGCCAGTCGAGCTGTGAGCTTATAACCCGTAGACCTGTTGTCTCCCATGGCTAAGTTTTACGGGAAGAGGGCCATCGACCAATTCCTAACCCCTGAAGAGGATGGACTAGGATACTGGCATGGCGCCCACATCTGACAGGAGAACGACTCGGGTCCTCAGCCAAAGCCTTCGATTGAATGAACACCCGAAAGGCAGCGGGTCTAGCACATGGTCAGTTCACTGACTCATGCTGATTGGTGTCCTGGTTCTTAGCAGGGAGAAGGGCGAAACCCAACTCCCACCCAGCGGTTGCCACGAGGAGGCGCCCAGGACATGAGCCAATGGCACAACAGTAGCAGCAGTGAGTAGACCATCTGTCAGGATCTAGCCACCACCAGCCTCAGCGCACCATAGGCTCTCCCGCCCAAATAAATACATACATACTATTTGACCGACTGGTATCCATCGAGCAGTGGGGTGCCCCAAGCCACTGTACTGGGGCCGATTTTGTTTCTGATCCATGTCAACGATGTGCCTCAGCTACTCCGTTCACCTTGTGCGTTGTTCGCAGATGACTTGAAACTGTGGAGAGTAATTCGCGTACCCAGTGACTGACCTGCTTCAGCAGGACCTCTACCACCTCTGCACTTGGTCTACAGAGGTCAACCTTTCGATCAACCAGCTCAAGTCCCAATTCATGAGGCTGGGTAAGTTCGAACACAGGCGAACCTACACGGTGGTAGGTCAACCGTTGCATCCCACGCCTTTCGTGCGAGACCTCGGTGTACTCTCATGCTACGATTTAAAGTTCATGTACAACACGAATAGGCTTTGCCATAACAGCCTTCGTATGCTCTGGGCGCTCAGACGCAGCTTCAACACTTGGTCCGAAGAGATTGCTACCCGCGTCTTCGTCTCAATAATACGACCATTGCTAGAATATGGCTCTCCCGCGTATTGTTCTATCATCCGGGGCGAGGTAGAAAAGATTGAGCGAGTGCAGCATGTAGCCACCAGCCTGATTCCCAATTTAGATGTGCCGTACGAAGACCGGTGTAAGAAACTAGGGCTTTACACCCTAGCTTATCGTCGACTGCGGGTTGACCGCATTATGACGCACCGGATAGTACATCTGGGTGATTACCTCATGTTGAGGCCGCTGCTTCATCTGCGCACACCAAGCAGCACACGAGGACACCGGTACAAGCTTGTTGTACCAGATTTACAGCGGGTCGCTCATCAACTCTGTTTCGAACGAAGAGTGATGAATGTATGGAACGACCTGCCGCAGCATGTAGTTGGGGAATTTAAGAAATTCCTGGCCGAACAATTTGCCGACATATAATATATCGAGCCCACCACAACATAATGGGTCCTTGTCCCTGAGTGACACTAGGTGCAGCTACAGAGAGATTTCTGTTTTTGCTGCTCCCAACAGCAATCCGTTGGTGCATCCCGACTGTTTGGCTAAGCTCCCATGGACGATGAACACGTTTGATTGGACATACTTGCTGATATGACGAAGGGCCGGCCCCAGTGGTTTTGTGTTGTGCGTTTCCTTTTTCATCCCCCTCTCCCCTATATTCCCCTTCCGCTTACGATTTCGTAGAAAATGAGTTGCATGGTATTCAACATTATGTTGCCTGCTTTTGAAATTTTTAGTATAATTTTTAGTATCTCAAATTTTTCGTATTTCGGCACCTTAACTGAGGTGTTTTCCGCCCTCATCATTGATAATGATGACTCAACTTTTAACATGCATGCGCTAAATTAACTATTTTACATGTATTCTACGAATGCAGCCGAGACACAAATGTTGGCGCCCATTCACGGTAATGCATTTTTCCTCTTTCATGGTGCTTCTGGAGTCGTTAAAATAGCAATGTTCCTGCTCGTGATTGTTCTTGAACGTACTGCATAGAACTGTGCAGGTTATATAGGTTTACATAGCATTTGGTCGCTAGCATCATGGTTTCGTATGTGCATGCTTACACTTCCTCACCATTTCCACTTCACCCTCCCTTTTTCGCCTCCGGTAGGCCTAAATCGTTTCCTACGAAGCCTTTAGAAAAGCATGAAAATCAAGGCGATCCCTACATCTCGGATGATATGTTACCGCCCTGCTCTGATCAATCAGATTCTTCCAATTCTGGCTCTGAAGATGGTCAACACCAGGGTGAACCTTTGGACACGTACGACTAAGTGCGAAACATACGCACGACGACTTGTGTATTATTTAATCAGGAATGTTTCTAAATCTTGTGCGACATGTATTTTGTGAAATCGTGGCTATTTTTATACCTTTCACGCACATGCCTTTGGCTTTTTATTCTATCGATTCGGTTTATTTACGCTTCCATCATCTCGACAGTCAGCAAGACAAATAATTGCTCGTTGTGCTTTTTGAAACGATCGGTCTCGTCAGCGCGTTTATTTTGAAATGAGGTATCCTGATGCGTTAAAATTTCGACCCATTTTGCTTCCCTTTACGTCACAGGTCTTACGAAATTTATGTTAATCTGCTCATTTGGCGACTGTTGTGTGATGCGATACAACCATCAGTCCACACCCTTTATCTAATCTCATTGTTTATCTATTTGCCACAAATAGGTCAAGTAAGTTAACAATTGGCTCAACTTTTTTATTTACTCGATCGATGTATTATGTTGGGTCACCCACTAGTATTTCAATCCAGCACTTGAACCATTATATGTTTTCCTCGCCCTCGTCCCCAAGGTCGATACTGTTTCGCTTGCAGCTTTTGTATTAATGGTGGTTCGCCAGTACATTACATCTACACGCGACCAAATTCCGTTTTGTTTGCGTGTCTCTCTTAGTTCAGTTTGTCAGCTATTATCCGATCCCCATGCGGCACAATAGCGGAGGTGTTTTCCCACCTCTAGCTGTGTATAACAATAATAATAATAATAATCCGATCCCCAACGATTAATGAACTAATCCGATAAATCTTGGACCAACGAATATGAAAATTAGCGAACATTAAATGGCAAGTGTCATCCAGATGGCCAACTGGCCTTTAGAAATGCGAGTTTTAGTGCGAGAGATCTACTGCATCCATACGGCCACATGCATCGAACACATTACGCAACCGATTGTTTTCGATTAGCGAACCCCGAGAAGCATTGTTCCTGCATATGGTGGAAGTTCCAAAGTCCCCTACTTGGTGTTCGTTGCCGAATCACACAGTGCTGTCTTGGAGCACCTTTTGCGGACCCAATCCGCCCGTACTGGTTACTCATGTTTTTCGCATAGTTACTGTTGCCTCTGCATGTATTTTTCCCAATGCTTCAACCAGCTGGATGGAGACTGTAGGTCATCAGTAAATAATTCGATTGCTTTCTTCCTGATAATGCGAGGCACGCCTGTATATGCATAATCATGGCAAAACGACAATGTTCAAAATTTTGCCAGCACCCTGAAGTATCTGTGTATGTGTATGTTTATATAGTTGTGTTACGGATTTGTAAACTTGGCTGTGTTAGATTGCGTCGCTAATGTAAGAGGAGATAAAAGAAAAGCTTTGAGGTGGATGACGAACGACCGCGGAGTGAATATGCTCATCCGAGTAATCAAGCGGCACTGACTTTCTTTAGCGGCGGGTCACATCTGTCGCGTCGCTTTGTTGCTAAAGACATATGTGGCTTTTTATAGAAGGTTTTCTAGCTGAAGATACACCGCATTCCTGAACACTGCAACCTAACTATTTGCTGCGACGCAGTAAACCTAAACCACCAACCTCGGCCGGTGGCCCAGTGGTCTGCACGCCTGGCTTGCAACCATAAGAACTAGTTTCGTCCAGTGGCAACCCTGTTGTGTTGTCGTATGGATTGAGAGCTCTGTCAAGTGACCGATTGGCGAACTTAGAGTACGTCACCTCTATGACTGCCTCGGTCGGGTCTAGCTGTCGTTGAAAATCGGAAGCGGCAGACTCAGTCCACCTCACGCTCCAGTATACTTTGCATCTCGAGACCCACTACGCCTCACTATTTCCTACTATCCTCGAGCAATCACTGGAAATAGCAGATCGACCCACCTGTCCTGGCAGCTCAAATATACTTGGTGACCATATCACTGCGGAGGTTAATGGGCACAATAAACGTTGAGTGGCCTACATGGTCTGGATCATCTATGGAGACGATGGAACATCTGTCTTTCGACCAATTCTAGGATGCAAAATTTTGCATCATTGTATGGTTTGGAAATATGGTCACTGCGCCCTGGAATTGTCATGAGACAGGTCATTCACGTACCACACTATTTACGCAACATTTCCCATGTTTAGTTGGGGGGGGATCGAATGAGCACTGCTGAGGTGTGTTCCAGTTGACGTTCGGCTACACGCCCTCCGGTATTTCATTAAAGTATGTTCTACACTGCAAGTGGCATTTGGTGTACCCGCTGTGTGGTTGGATTGCGACTCGCAATTTCTATTCAGACCTCGGTCCTCTTTGAAGTAGACCTCGGTCATTACGATCACAAGGACCGTATCCGAATTGGTGGTTCGGTGTTGCTCCTCCCAACCCTGACACCCCATAACCGGTTTCGTCCTCCTTTGGACTCATCAGATGGAGATAGTCTGAGCTGGGGTGGACCTCGAGGCCTTGTGGTTAAAGGCTGACGCCTTGATCACTATGGCTCTAAGGTCCGTGAGCAACGCTTGGCACAGCTGTAAGGAATTCCAAGTGGCATTTGGTGTACCTACGTTGTCGAGCTCGCTTTGTCATCCCCAAACCTGCTGGGTGGCTCCGTTAATATGCATCATTTGCTGATGTTGCACTTGGTTGAGTGAAGTCTCATACTGCATAGTTGCGGACACGGTACAATGATGTTAAGTAGTTAACAGGAAGATGGGGTTTTGGCCAGTGTATGTATTTCCCGCGCGAGAGATCCGGGTTCGGCCTCATTCTCGGTTTGTTACTTTAGCCGAATTTACTCAACCACTGATGCGCTTGCTGTCAGCCTTCATTCGACGATTACAGCTTTTTCTTTCGCTTGGTTTTTAGTGGTAAGCTTCCTTTTTTACTTTCATTCGTACGGTGACTTGAGCTGTGCTAATTGAATCTCTGTCCCACTTCGCTGCTCATATGACAGTAAATTCACTAAACTGAACATATATCACAAACCGTATTAAATAATCCTTGGTCACGAAATCCTGTAAGGAATCATACTTAGTAGTCACTAGTGGTAACATGGAGTTTGTCGTTGCTTTATTATATGGTTAGAGGTATTAGTGTTGTTTTTGCTTGAATTTCAATGTGTACTGTGATGCACCTTAAACAGAACATTGCTGTTTTCGATCATCAAGACCGTGTTCTACGTAATGGCTGTCTCAGCATTTCACGTTTCCCAACCTACACTACACGATCGGCCTTGACTTCGTTTTACTTTTTCAGGCAGAGATAGCCTAGTCTACGCATCGATTCCGAGAGGTAGTGATCGTCGATGGAGTCATTTACCATTAGGATATTAATTGCTCTATCCACTTGAATAGCCCAACCAAGGATTCGGCTCATCAGGCAATGCAACACAAAAAACAGGCAAATTCGGTTGATATCCAATTAATTGAAACAAAACTGGAACTTGCTTCAACTTCGTTTACAATCCAAATTGAGCTTGTCTATTGCTCTCTAAACTCATCTGCCCTACAGTGCAACGACCTTGAACGAACCTGCGTTCTAATCGCTCATCTTTGAACACGCTGTTCTCATTTGCATTTTGTCGCACAAACGTGTGTTCGTCCCAGATTCATCTGCGCTAGCTAATGCCCTCCATCTTTCGGATCCAGCTTGTGTGTATCGCCTTTTGTCTCCACATTGCGGTTTTTGCGCCACACCCGCGAAAACACAATCGAGGAATTTTCCGAATCACGGACCACACAGAACTATTTTTTGGTCTCAAACGAAAGCCAATTACACATTTCATCTGACGAACCAGCATCCACAGCTGTGGACCGATCATCAAACTAGCTATCGTACACTTTGTGTCCGTATCGCTCAGTTGCTCTGTTTGCCGCATGAACGATCTTGCCTCTTAAACTTGCATGTTTGGGTCAGACGCAGAGAACGTGACGATTTTGAACATGCAGACAATTCAGCACACACACGACCGGCAGGAAATCTTAAGCGCTCGGGCCTCTATGGGAATAAGATCGATTAACGTAATGGATTGTGGCGACCAATCAAAAGCCCATGTTACTGCATCCAGATCGATAGTAGTTTGTGGCCTTCCTTCGTGCCATAACAATGTATGGATTGGAATCCAGTGTAGCAGTTGCCAAGGCAAGTTCCATCGTAAATGTTCCAAGCTCACAGTGAACCGGTTGAAGCTACACAATAGTAAACCAGCTTCACTGTGGTTCTATTCAGTATGGATGGTCATCCCACTGGTAAAGGTTGTACATGAACTGTCGCAGATGTAGGAAAGACTGGTGGCAATGTTAGAACAAATGAGGAGCACCAAAAGCGATTCATTTGTAGTAAACGTGACAAATAGTAAATACCAATCATCCCCATCAGGCCCTGCATTAAAACTGAGGAAGAAGGCTAGACAGCGCGCTAAAAATGCATCATCTGTGGCGTTAAACGCCAATACCACCAGTTGCTCAAATATGCCTGAAACAACCACCGCCAGTCCGATTACAATGAGCACGGTAAGGGCTTTATCCACTCTCCAAACGGTTCCGAAAATTCAGAAGGGTTTTGACACCAGTGGTGGTTGGAACTTGGTTGTGGCCAAAGGAGACCGAAAACCTAGATCTTCAGCCACTCCCACTGGACCCATAGTAAATGAAGAAGGCGAAGATGTAACCAGACAGCCTCCGTCAACTGTATACAGACCACCTGGTCGTTTGACCTCAACCAGAGCTGCACGTAGTATATCAGCGGTAATCTGCACCACTGTTCCAGAATCGACGTCAAATTCCTTAAAAGGAAAACAACTCGATTGCGTGAACCAGTGGAACTCCATATGTTGCAACTAAGCCCGTCGATTTGACACGCGTTACCCGTCACCCAAACTCACAACACTAAGGGGAACCAAGAATTCTCCGAGTTCTGCTGACTTCTGGCAATGAAGCAGAAGCTGTCCTGTTATCGACAGCTCGCCTCCGGAATGGGTTATGTTCCATCCGCTTATTCCCAGATATTCCGTGGAGCGAGCGCAGACAGACGAAGCACTACTTGGACGAAGACCGGAAGGAATGCGTAGCCACGACCATCCTTGTACATGGTGTTCCTGAGGCTGGAAGTCATGATGAACGCGAAGCGACCACTCACGACCAGGAACAATGGCGGTACATTCGCGACACCCTCTCCTTCGACAACATCATAGTGCAATCAACCTCTAGGCTGCGCCGACCTCCAGACTACAAGGGATATGGCCAGAGGATTGTGGAACTGGTCCTTCAATCTAGACGAATGTCAGCAATTGTATGCGGGCCGCAACAACCTTCCTTCCTAGCTCCTGATCAAAGCAGCATCTGCTAGGCAAACACACACACTTAGTCAGACCACTTACCGACGAGAGTTTGGATCACTTCAATCAACTAGCCAACGAAACTGGCAAACACACCCAATACATTACATACAAAGAGAGAAGCAAAGGGATAATAGTAGGATCCATGAATCGGACACAGATGAGTTCGTCATCACACAACCCAAAAAACGATTAGTTGCCGACCTTTCGCCGGTCGGCACAACATTTTATCCAAAACACCCATCCCATGATTCATTGCTATAAACAGAAACTTTCCTGCGTGTACACCAATGCACAATGTCTCCTGAACAAGCTTGCCGAACTGCGGCTATGTCAAGCGTCACATGCCTGGGACCTCATATTCGTTACAGAAACCTTCTTGCACTCATAAATTACCGATGCTGAGGTTGCGATAAATGGTATATCCCTTCTCCGAAACGATCGACCTAGAAAAGGGGGGTATTCTTATCCTACCGCAACGACCTACAGTGCGAACCGGTGACCGATCCGGAAACGCTTATCATAGACTCACTCTGGTGCAGTCTGCGACTGAAACAGAACGACACTTGCCTTTTGGATGTTGTTTATCATCTCCCAATGTCCACCGCAGAGATAGAATCCCGGCTGGCATTATCTTTGGGAAGGGTCCTACGAGGACGATACAGTTATGTTCTCATCCCATGCTTTAGAAGTTCCGACATCTCCCAACGAACAGTTTAAGGCCGATCTGCAAGAGTATATTGCAAGCATTCCGCTCTTCAGCCATATCACTTCACCCACCCGATTCAGAGCCGGAAATAAACCATTTGTGCTTGATTTAGTGCTCACGAACGAAGAGCTCGTGGTTGGGAAACCAAGGCTGGAGAGCCCTCTGGGGCGGAGCGACCACGTAACTATAATGTACGACTTCGTGTGTTATGGAGAGTATCCACAAGAACATACTAACTTGTTTCGAACAATCACCCACTACGACATACTGGCAGAACTTGTGAGAGATGACAGCTGGGAGTTTTCGGATAACTGTTCCATTGGCAGTGCTTGGATGGATTTTACTCTCAAGTTCAGTGAACTAATTAAATTTGCAAAGGTCAGCAGGTCCTTTTCTTTTGCTAGGGCTTAATCATTTATTTGGAGCAGAACCCGAAAACACATGACAATAAGAGACGCCGCGTGGAATGTATATAGAGCGAAACCTAGCCCTGACAACTGGAGTGACTATCGTATGCATCGCAATCACTATACCACACTTGTGCGCGAGGACATGATAGTACACCAGCAGAGTCTAGCGCAAAGTTTTGTGTTAACGAAAAGCTTCGGTACAGACATGTGAACAACCTCCGAAATGTGAAACGTGGTGTTCCGCCCCCCACTAATATCAGTGGATGGATGTGCTCAAACCGCCGAGAATGCAATCAATGTTCTACAGCGACAATATGCCCCAATTTTCCGACGTGCTGCCAGCATTTGTAACATACCTGTCCCATTCTCCTAGATGCCAGTATTTATACACGCCACGTTTAGTTCAGCGGGCATTTTGAGCAGTCTGCTGTTGTTGCGCACCCATAGTTCACCCAGAGTTGAAAGCATTCCCCCCAAAGCGCTGTAGGGGGCAGTTGCGAGGATAGCTGAACCATTAACGGGATTTTTCCAAACTTGCCTGGACGAACAGCAGGTCCCTAACATGTGGAAGCAAGACATCATTACCCCGATTTTCAAAAGTGGTGGCCGGTCAGAGCCAGCCAACTATCGCCCAGTGACTCTGCTCCCGGTGCTCCCTAGGTTGATGCAATCGATCATAGCTGAGGCTGTAATGGGCTACTTCGAAAGATCTAACATCATAGCACCTGAGTAACACGGATTCCGTCAGCATCGGTCATGTACTACCAACCTAATGCTGGCCCTTGGCACTTTGACCGAGGTAGCCGACACGGACCGGCATTGATGCCATCTACCTAAACTTTTCCAAAGCATTCGACCGTATAGATCACCACATCCTCCAAAAGCTGCAAGCATACGGAGTTGTATACCCTGTCCTTGGATGAATCGGAAACTTCCTCTTTCAGCGGCGCCTTCAGGTTCACGTTTAAGGTTCATTTTCTTATCCAATTGGTGGGGATTGCGCTGTTCTACAAGAATCGGTGTTGGGGCCGCGGTTATTCTTGTTCTTACTTAACGACCTTGCGAGTGTCATCAAGTTAAATTCTGCTTTTTGCCAAGGACCTCAAGCTATGGAAGGCAATCGACTGTCAGGAAGATCACGATATGTTGCAACGAGGTTTAGACTGCGCTTTTGAATGGTCAGAGTTAAATCTACTTCCATTTAACACGGACAAGTGCCAAACCGTGCATGTCCGTCACAAGCCCACGTACGCATATTAGCTTGGAGACAACATTCTGAAAACCGCCTCAAGTGCGAGACCTTGGGGTGATAATCCAAGACGACCTCGGATGATCGGTGCAGTGCTTGAAGGCGTCCAAAACCGCGAACCAACATGTTGGTCTGTTACGGAAGTTTAACCCCTCCATCTTCCCCCAACTGCTCAATGCGCATGTGAGGCCCCATGTACGCGATCCAGGCTTGGCAGCCCTGGTTAAAATGCGACCTGGTTGCGCTGGGGATCGCACAGCGACGGGCAACAAAAATGTGAAGGGGTTGTCCCACCTGCAATACCCTACGCGACTGGAAGCCCTGAGAGTGTACAGCGGAAGATATCGCCGTCTACGGGATGACCTCATCCTGGTGTTCCAGATTTTGAGAAACCCCGGTCACGCTTGCCGCCACCTGAAGCTTAGCTGCAACACAGAATTGAGGGTTCATAAATTGAAACTTGCCACCCAATACAGTCGGCTTGAGTGCTGCTGGAATTCTTTTTCCCTTCGAGTTTGTAAACGGTGGAACGCTCTTTCGACTTCTGTTATTCCCGCGCCCACGCTACTCATTTTTAACAAACGACTCGACGATGCTTTACACCATTTACATTACTTGACCTAATTTCTGTTCATTGCGTGGAGACGAGATGCAGACAAACATTGTGCTCACTAACCGCACGAACTCGGGTGGAACGGATATACCTATGTGTTAATCTGGATAATATGCTGAGTCTACAGATGCGTTTTTCTTTTTTGTGTAACTTAACTTAACTAGTCTTATTCCCACAAGCTATCCCACTGGACTTGTCAAGCCTTGGCTTTTTTATCCGTATTATACCATTGTTCCATTGTTGTTCCACTGTATGCGAAGCCTAACAACGCACCTTTCCCCTGCATTCCGCGACCCGACCGCCCAATTATAAGTATAAAACCGCCCATTTCTCTGCAGTAACACTTCTCGTCATTAATATCACGGTGGCTTTGCCACCACACTAACTCGTAGAAGCCAGTGGCAAGCTACTCGGTCAAAAATACGGCATTCCTTTGTGAAACACGCTTTCTTTTTCCTTCATCAGAATAGTATACGACATTATCCAAACCATAACTTACTATCCAATGATGAAGGGGATCACCTAGCTCTATCATCGTCATCAAATCCCCTCGTATGTGCAAACCTCATCAGTCAGCTATTGAATTGTATATTACCTCTCAAGTTTTTGCGCTTATCAAATAGAGGCATGTGTTCATATGAATAAGGCTCAAAAGCAAACGACCGATCCGTATAGTATTTTGACACTTTCAGATGTCAGTGTGGGATATTGACTGAAACAGCAAAGTTCGAAATTACTTAGAATACTGATAGCTCGTGCGGCTTGTTTATTTGAAGCGATCTTCGCCGAGCCGGGCAGCTTGATCGGAGACGTTTCATTACCATCCGCGGTGTCGTCGTTACTGCAGGAATGATGGCACTTGGGTAGCAGGAGCTGCTGAAACGTAAACCCGAAGATGCGTCAAGCATCTGTGCCATAGAGATTGCTCACACGGCTTTTTACACGAGGTATCCAGCATGTGCTGGCATAGATGCTTACACTCTCAATAGCATTTATCTCAGTCGGTGACACATTCTTTGTTCCATACTGCAGTTTTCTTAAATCGAAAAACTAGCTGTTATGTCTTATGGATGTTAATTTACGTCTTATGACATAGTTCAAGTCGCCCTACATCCAGTGAAAGCACTCGGCTTCTTCGTATACCTTTTCGGGGCTTGAATCAAATGAGCCACTCGTGAATCCTTACAGGTACTCATCTGACCCAACCAGGATTTTATCTGCTTCGTTCGATAACAGTTTCATTTTAATTTTTTATTGCACTACCAACTGGAAGGCACAAATGAATCAGCCAAACTTCGCAGTCATGTGAGCGGATGTCCGCTTCGTCATACGCTTTTTCAATCTGGTTGTTCCGGCATATATCAGTATGATGATAATCGACAGCGCGATCGCAAACAGAGTATATATAAACCAGGTTGATGTTAATTCTTCTTTTGACAAAATCGGTTTTTCCATCATCCGAACGATAACTTCTTCTCGCTGGCACAACAGGACGTTACCGGGCATTCGCAAGATCGTACAGTAATCCGGATCTCCATTGCACACCACTTCCGGTCGCGGGAGTTGCACTGTTTGGTTCTGAAGATTAATTTAAGATAGTCTTAACACAAATAATGCACTGAAAATGTACATGAAATTTTGAAGCGAGTCCCATTCGCTTTATTAAAATCAACCTACCTGTCTCTCTTACTAACATATATGTTTTTACAGCGTTGATGAGTTAACTGTCTCTAATCACATATTCTTGCAGAAACCTTCATCATTTTTAGTGTGGATCACTGTCGCTATCGCCATTATCCAGTCGGAACTAGACCGCTTCTGTGTTCGTCGACGTAATCCATTGCAAATTCGATCACAGACCCATTCTTCGATTAGTTCACCTGTGTTCATATCTATAATTTATAACAAGAACAGGAGCACATCTCAAGGGTGGGGGTAGCCTATGTTGATGGCCGCTAACCTGTTTAACTACTACTGTGATAACTTTGTTCCCACAGAATGTAACCGCTACGTGGATTAAACTTGATCAAGTAGTCCCATCATCTTTCACCATCATACACGTTAGCCAGATATGCGAAGCCCCTCAGCCGTTGTACCTTAACATAAGGCAATTAGATGATCGCAAAGATGGAGGGGAAAACAAGACATATATCATATTTCGCTTTTTTATTATGCGTCAGTGAGGAAATCATGGTTGGAGGGGAGGGGCAATGTGGCTTACAACACAGTCGCCACTGGGACCGGCTGTTGGCCATGCCAGCAAGTGTATCCAGCCAGATATGTCCATCGCCTTTCGTATTTGAACACGGCAGTTGGAACGCACCAACCGAGTCAAAATTCGGACCGAGAGAATTTGTTCCTCTTAACTAAGTTATCGGCTGCAATCCCTTCTTTTTCCTTTCACACCCCCGTCTCACAAACGGTGCATGTCCCACTCGTCGGAGCCCGGTGCTTGAGATGACGATGTTGAGCGATTTATGTCCTCTTCCTGTGCGATAAACAAAACGCCGAACACATTCCTTGCTCACGCCGTGTTCCCAGCCGATGTAAGGCAGACTGCGAAGGTACCGGTTGTCGGACCTAACTAGCCGCTTTGTTTCTGTCAATCTGATAGGCCATGTTTCGCAGCCGTATAGTAGGGTTGAACAGACTACTGCACTGTGTACTCTACATTTTGGGGTTAGAGTGACGTCACACAGGCACAACAGATGGTGAGGGTTAGTGAACGCACTCCGAAATTTTACTCCACGGATCATGATCCCACTTTATATTTCGCAATCGCAGGTATAGCGGTCTAAGCAGTATCCCAAGGATTTTATGCTGATCTCTACCTGTTGTCGCCGCAGGAGTTTGTCCCTACCGTACCTGGAGGAGTGCTTGACGTATATGGATGCAAAGTATAACCCGAAACGGTTGACATCCAGCGCCGCTTGGCCGGTTTTTAAGCTATCGTGGATTAAAACGCTATCGTCAGCGTACACCAAATCAGTCAGATCACATGGAAGCTACCCAACATCTTAGTCGTGTTCGGTGAATGCTTTTTGACAGAAGCTCTCCCTCCGCTCGGATCAAGTGTCGACAATGCTTGTGTAATATTTGTGTGTTTTAAGGGCACACGTTTCTAATCAAACAGTTCCAAAGAGTATATTGATCCGCCGAATCGATGGCACCTTTGATTCCAGGTAGCACAACTGTGCTTCAACTACTGACGTACAGTGACGGTGTGGTCACTGCAAGTGATTTCGACGAAAGCTGAGTTGCTTTTCATGAATCTTACCTTTACGAATGTCAGTCCATCTTTGAAGAACGGCAGTCAAGCAACTTCCAGGAGATGAAGATCAGGCTGATACTTCTATGGCTGACGCATCCAGAGCCTGAGCTGCCATTGAAACTCGAAGCTGTAACAGAGTAATAATTGCGACACTTTCTGTTCCCACAGTTTCATTAATAGATCGTACAAATCGTCCACAGGCGATGGTCCCCCGAATTCGAAAGATGCTAGAGCAAATTCGTCTGGTTCTGCGGCCTTATTCAATTGTCCCATCTCATGCATTAGAGTGGGTCCAAAGGGGCGCGTCAGGTAGCAGGGTGATCACTGGCTGACAAGTAAGCTGACACTAATGATCGATTAAATTGTTTTCCAACGCGTTTTGTCTAACACTCCAAGTGTTTTGACCAGTTGGGTTTGGCCATCCCCTGAAATTCCATATAGTTTCAATAACGCCAGATCTCATTCTGTACATTTTCCCTGCAGGACTGTATTCTGATGGTTACCTAGAGTAGTGGTCGTTTCCATCTGACACACCATGAGACTACTAGATTTTGCGGTCACCCTTGAGGCTGACACGTGATTTTATCCTGAGATCTTTGTTAGTCTCATAATGTTGGCTTCTGGCGGGAATGTGTTGGTGGGCATCCAGAAGTTCCGAAGATTGTGTAAAAGCTCACTTCTAAAGCTAGAATTTGAATTTGCCACACTAGAACATACCTACTACTAATATCGTCCGATAAACCTACGATTGCCGACCTTCTACGGTGTTCAGTAATCACTTATCCCCGATATCAGTATGCTTTGATACGCATTCAGAACATCTAGTTTCGGCAGTTGCCAAGTTTCTATGCTCTCTCAGTGTATCGTGAGCGTTCACCAAATCGTACGGAAAGTCACCACATGCAGTGCTATGAGCCGAATCAGTTGTATCGTTATGGTCCGTCATATAATATTATAATTCAAGAGCTTTATACACCCGGAGGTGATTATTCAGCTGTTACACACACACCTTCAGTATTGTAACAAGAATACACAAAACGGTAGTAAGCAGCAAAGACGGCAGTATTGTTGCAAAGTAAATTTGCTTGTAGGCTCCATAACGACCGAGGTCTGGTTGCACAAAAAGCGCGTCAAATATGGGATTACGGATGAGTGGTAAGCCATTGTACGGGAGTAAATCGATTTGTAGTATTGTCTAGTTAAGGAACTTGATATACAGTCAGTGCGCCATAAAGCAGTGACTTGCATCAGCGAGTATTTTTGAAGCAAGCTTTTGCATGAACTGGAATGAGTAGACACAATAATGTCAACAAATTCGGCTTCAGTATACCATTAACAGTTGTATCGATAACCTATCTAGAATTTTGAAATGCTTCTTTAGAAAACGGGTATGTCATAGGGGAGCAGTAAGTCCAGCTAGGCAAAACACTAGCGGCGCTAAATCGCAGTATTAGGTAACGGGGAACAGAAGAGGATCGCAAACGAGTAGCTTAAAAGGGAAGCCTCCTCACAGTTGTTAAAACTTCATTCACATGGAGTGACTATGATAGATCACGGCTGAGTGTAACACCTAGATATTCCACAGACTCGGTGGAATGCAATGGTTCACCATCTATGTGAACTTCAGGGCGATCTACTAGTTGCTGATAACGACGGTCATGGTGAAGAGAAAAAGGAAAGTCACTGCATTTTAATGCATTTAGCGATAAAATGTGAGCTCTGAACCATAATGCAAAGTCGTCCAGGTAGGCTTGTAACTTGACTGATGAGGCTGAGGTCGGATGCTGGATACCTAAGACCACGTCGTCTGCATATTTCAGCGATATTGCTTCGTTAGGAGCGGGTACTAAGGCGGCATAAGTGGAAAAAGGTATGATGACAGTATGGCTCCTTGAAGAACCCCCGGTGGCTGTGATGAGTAGCTAGGAACTTTTACCCTGGGCACGTCCAGAGATATAGTCTCTCAGCAGGTGAACAGTGGAATGTTGAATTCCGGTTTCTCGTAGGACTCCCTAAATAAGCTCATGGTTAACGCTGCTGAAAGCATTGCTATTATCGAGAAAACTTATTCGCACGGCTTTGATCTTATTGTCCATTGGCTGAACATATATGATAGGCTAGTGCATCTTCAGTAAACCTCAGTCTGCAATATGCAAACTGCAGCGGACCATCTGGAAGCGTGAGTCATCATCGTTTCAAAAATAGCTTTCTCGAAAACCTTCAGGTTTACTGAAATGCAAGCCATTGGTCGGTGTTTATCTGAGTCACCGGTGGAATTATAGAATGTCTCCAACAGTCAGCAGTTTTACATTCCTGTATGCACGATGTGTACAGGTCAGCAAGACGCTGGGCCAAGGAATCGGTACACACGTTGAGGACAAGGGAAATAATCCGTCCGGGCCGCTTGCTTTGTTGGAATTTGGCTTCAGCAGCTGACTGGGTACTGTATTCCTGTCAGTGCTAGATGAAGAGACTGTGGGACTGTTCACTCCGGGGGGAGGAATGGTAAGAAGTGTAGTTAGAACTGAAACAACAAAGTTTTTGGTCAAATCTTGAAGGTTCACCTCTGGATTTGACACACGGTGAAAAACACTGCTAAGTTGTTTAAGCATACTCCAGACCTCTCGGCAGCTATTGTTTCCGTGGGTGGTCTGGACATATAACTGGTTTAGGCGGCGTGACTCTAACTTGATAGAAATACAAAGAGACTTCACTGTGACGTGGTGTTTCTGTAGAAACGCTTTCTCTTTGGGTTTACACAGACGTTTTAGGCACGGAGACGAAAACCGATCAGCACGGATATAAATCGTTTCCACTGGACGGCAGGTATCGAAACAAACGTTGAGCTGGCTCGTTAACTGGCCACAATACGTAGCTAAATCACTGTCAAGGAATATACTAAAATCTGTAGGTACAGTTATTTCTTGTAGTCGATATATGTTCTGAGGTGAACATTGTCTTCTTTTAAGCCTAGGATCTTTGCAGCGAGTGAGCTCCATGTGATTTATTTTGCTGTATACGACAGGAATAGTTGCCAATGCGGATAACCATTTGATCCGATCATTCAACACACCAGTAGGGCCCATGCGCTCTATAACCTGGGCGAATGACTACTATATGTGATTCACTTAACCAGACAGTGAGCCGAATTGCCACTTTTATGGGTTGTTCAATGATAATGGGGAGTAGCAGTATGTCGGACCGTTCACCTAACGGTACCTTGCAGCTAGGGTGGGCGACGCACATGCCAACATGTAGCGTGCTCATCTCAGAAGGGTTTTATTGTTTATTTGGCGGATGTTCACCT